TACGCGGCCGTATAGCTAGGTGGGTGGCGGCGATTCGGGCTTTTTTGTTGTTGTACAGTCTTGCTGGAAATCAAATTTCTGTTTTGACGAATACGCCGTGAAGCCGGCAGCCGGTGTCACGTGTCTAGCCGGCATGTTGACTTTTGAGGTGTTGGTCCGGAATTTTAGAATTTTAGTCACCCATCTTAATTCGCAAGTTGTATGAATAATCTTAGACATTGTATCCTATGCCGAAAGTGGAGTTCGGATCTCGGACTGGGGATCCTGGCTCAAGTTAAGGAAAGTAAAGGCAGGCTGTGAATAGTGCTGACCACACCATCTCTTCATCTGAATATGGGACGGCGTGGTCGGGAGTTAGAGCACTCGACTTCTATGCCGAAAGTCTCGAGTTCGGATCTCGGACTCCGATGCCTGGCTCACGTTAAGGAAAGTAAAGGCGGGCTGGGCTCTGCAGTGGTCAGGAAACAGATAAACTCTACTTCACCTGCCCTATTTGATCATCAGGCCCGGAGCTTTACTATTTGTGAATAATCTCATCCACGCGTGAACAACTAAATGCCGGCACATGAACATTTGGCGGCATCGCAATATAGCATCTCACAGTGGTGTGGTTAGCCGAGCAGTATTGCTGCAAACACAATGCAAAGACCAGTGTCTTCGTTAGCGGTAGAGTTATTGTTTTTAAAAAAAATTCAGGAAAGTGTAAGAGTTTAGGTTAAATATTAGCATAACTTTAGCACCAGAATGGTATATTAGCTTCGAACAGAGGCGTAGCGCCCCTTACCGGCGCCCGGGGACAAACTTTCAATTTGGCGCCCCCCCCCCCCCGCTTAAACTTTTGATTTGCACTTTGCACCCTCCCCCCTCAAACTTTTGATTTGCACCCCCTCCTCAAACTATCGATTTGCACCCCCCCCCCCTCTCAAACTATTTATAATTTGTTTTTCCAACTCATTTTGGCGCCCCCTAAGGTCGGCGCCCGGGGACATATGTACCGCCCCGACCCCCCCCCCCCCCCTTAGTTCGCTACGCCTCTGGCTTTGAACCAGTCTTGTCCAAGGACCGTATTTTTTTTTAAATTTCCTGTAATTTAAATTTAAAAAAAAAAAATTAATTCCAACAAAAGACGTTTATCAAACACATGACTTTGCGTGTAACGAAATAAAATAATTGCTAGCTATCAGAAATTGAATTTTTAAAAAATTAATTGAAACTTCAAACTTATTCAAAGAAAAAAAAATTGTTAATCTCTAGTATCAGCATGCGCCCGATCCCCTTAAGCCCTCATTAAAAGCCCGTGAAATAGACAAGACTCGTGACTCCACTCGTGACTCCACCACAACAAGTGCTGAGGTAATCCCCGTGAGAAACAATACCACTTCCGGTATCGGTACCGAGGGGAGGTCATTATCACGAAAACTGAAACGGGATACTAGATTGGCTCTCACACGAGAAATCAATTAATTTTTTTTTTTCCAAAATCCCAATTCTATACATTTTTTATGGGATAATATATTGTTCACTACCCCCCCCCCTTCTCCATAAGCCACCATCACCCTCTACATATTTTTTTTTCTTCCTATCTGCTTTCTAAAGTACAGGATTTAATCTTAATCAACTTTTTAAAAAAAAAAAAACGTTCTAGTTTCATTATGGATACTATAAAAAGTAGACATCTATCTGCACTGAATAGGGCTGGTAAGTAGGTCACCAACCAGTTCTATGGCTCATGCAGGTTTTATTGAGCCGTAGACTGTCCGTAGAATTGGTTGGTGACCTACTTACCAGCCCTATTATGAAAGCAAATACTTATGCGAAAATATATTTACACAAGCGTGTTTTGTTTTATATGAGGAAGGAATTAACAAAACTAATTTCGGTTTATTTGCCATTGATAACAAAATCTTTTTGGTCACAAAATGGTGCGCGTACCTGGCAAGCCAGTGTGTGTCAATATTGTGTCTGTAGGTATGGCAGGGCACAGGAAGTCACGTGATAGACACACAGGGAGACGTCTGGAACATTCCGGACTTATTTGCTTCACAGTTCGGGATATAAAGGGATCATCCCGACCGGCAGGATTTGTAAAACGGTCTTTCGAAAAACCGGACCCGGCCGAATTTGAAAAATAATTTACTCAAAACACAAGCACCGACAGAATGAGTAGAAAAAAGATATTCTACCACAAACACAATCAACGACATAATCAATAAAAACCTACCACAAACACAATCAACGACATAATCAATACAAACCTACCACGAACACAAGAACCGACATCATTTGTAAAAACATTCATCCAAAACACTACAACCGGCAACAAATGGGGTTTAAAAAAAAAAAACATGCGCTCTAAAAGCCGGAACCGGCAGCATCTTCAACATATTTCTTTAAAAAGCCGGAACCCAAGACAGACAACTCACACGATCCGGGTGTCAGATTTCTCCAGACGGTACAGAGCAACTCTTTTGTCTACCAGTAACACAATCATTACATTGACGGGGGGGGGGGGTGGTTTGGGGTGGCGAGGGGGATGGTTGGGGGAGGGGGGGTTAAAGCTCCTCCAATTTGACCTACATATTAAGTTATGCAATGTTTTTGAAAACCAACCCGCGGAGAAAGCGCCGTCTGCTACAGTTTCCGGTTTCACTTGTGTGTGGTGGAATGTTCGTGTTTCGATGGTCGGGGTAAATGTTCGTGTTTCGATGGTCGAGGTAAATGTTCGTGTTTCGATGGTCGAGGTGAATGTTCGCTTTCGGGTGAATTTTCGTAAAACGAACATCTTCTTGTTGCACCTTTCATAGCTGACATTTTTTGTTTCACTGACCTGACATTTGATTGACTGACATTCGTACGACTGACAGCTCGCTACATAATTATAAAGTTTAAACTTTTTTTGGAATTCATCATTTTTCAACATCAAATATTTAATATGCAAAAGCCATACCCTAAAACCCTAGCCATAATCCTATCCTTTACCCAACTTTAACCTTAATCCTAATCCACATTATTAGAAAAATCAATCCATTGACGTAACACTGTATTTGAAGACAAAGACGTCTTTATAAAAAATAACAAAATTCAAGGACAACCAAGTCAAACCTACTTTCGTTTTTAAATCTCATCACTATGACAACGGAACTCCCCAAGGAATGAATGGCCAATACATTGCCAAGCATTTCTTCATTTTTCTCCCTCTCTCTCCCAGACTGGTGACGTCATAGCTGGAAGATTGTACAGATTTTAATCTAGATTCGATTTAGAACTTCCGGGTTAGCAGCACTACCACCCCCCCCCCCCTCCACCAGACCCCCCAGGACTAACCCTAGTTCTCGGTTTCATTAACTAGAGGATCTAGTATGTACCGCCTACTTTGACTTACATAAAACGTCTGGTTAGCAATCATGCATTGCCCAACCTTAACTATCTCTGTCCGATTCGAACATAACCTAATACTAGATCTTTAAAAAAAAAGTCAAGCCAACTTGTTGACTTGTTCAAAAAGCCCCCCCCCCCCCCACCCTCACGAAACCCAGCCCTCGACACGTGCCTCCACCCACACGGCTCGCCCGAGCACCAGTCTCTCGTTAGCTTGGGTACTGTCCAACTACCGAAACATAAATAAGCTTCGTCTCGTCTCCGAGAAACGCCAAATGGAAAAGAACTCACATACATATTTAAAAAGTTTCCCTATTCAGCTCTCTGTTTCCAATACGGTAGACGAGCCCTACCCAGGCCTATTCAATAACAGGACCCCTCTGCATAACACTATACTCAAATAAAATAGCAGGATCCCTCAACACGACCCCCATAGGAAGAAAAGAACATGATCCTTTTGAAACCCCCTAGCTTGACCACGATTTCAACCCCATTCCTCGCCCAGACTACCTTGAGCTCAGGGTCCAGACCCCAACCTACACAGCCGACCACATTTTCGATCCCCTCAACCCCTAAGAGGATACCGATCCCAAACACCCCCCCCCCCCCCCAACCAACACACACACACACTACTGTACTTTCAATTCTCAACTCACCCCTACTCAGAACACTACAAGTAGGATCCCGACCCCAACCCCTAACCAGACACCATTTTCGATCCCGTACCCACCCTCAACCAAACACCATTTTCGGCGCCGATCCTCCCCCCCCCCCCCCCACCACCCTGACCACTACAAGACCAGGTCTTAAAGAAACCATCACAAGAAGCGACGCCATCGATCGAGAGCGCCTGTGTGTGGGGTGGTTGGTGGATGATGAATCTCGATTCAACTCGTCTGCGACGTTTCTTTTCTCATCGCTTGCTCGTCTTGTGTACAATAACATCCGAGTTAATCGTCATCAGCCCTTACAGTCGGGGGGCCAAAATGGGGGCTTAGTCGAGGGCTTGAGTGACGCAAACTTTGATTATCGTCATTCTACCTTACTGTCAAAAATAGGGGGGGGGGGCTTAGTCGAGGGCTTGGGTGACGCAAATATTGTTTGATTCTCCTGCAAGTCTGTGGATCCTAATGTAGGCTTGAGTGACGCAAACTTTATCACCATCCTCCCTTACAGTCGGGAATAAAATGTAGGCTTAGTAGAGGGCTTGGGGTGACACCATCTTCTTTTACAGTAGGCACCAAAATGGGGTCTTAGTCAAGAGCTTGGGGTGTTTAAAACAATGTTTAGTTATCTGCTAGCCTGTGGATCCTAATGGAGGCTTAGCCGAGGGCTTGGGGTGTCTAAAACAATGTTTGATTATCCTGCAAACCTGTAAATCCTAATGCAAGTTTAGTCGAGGGCTTGGAGTGACGTATCCGGATTTGTGTCGGAGAACCGGAGACCGGTTCTGTTACCGGTATAGTTGCGATTAACCAGTTTAGCTAAGGAGTAACCTTGCCCCTAATCCCTACCCTCCACAATTAGCCACGTACGAAACTCGACCAATGACTCGAATAGGTTCGACCACTGGAAGAAATCCCACCCCCTCCCCACCCTACCTACCCGCAAGTTTTACTTACCGGTGCGGGGGTCAATAACGAAAAAATTCTGTTGGTTCCCTCCGGTGATGGCATACGTCAGACTTTGGGCACCGTCGTAATCCCCGTCCGTGGCCTGGATTTGAATGAAGTTCTTCTGCTCTTTTTTGTTTTCCTGGCGGGGTGGGGGAGACGGGGTTGAGGGTAAAGGATTAGGGTGGGGGGAAAAATAATATATTAAATTACAGAAACACATTAATCAAATTACACGCGCCGTCATAATAGGAGATGGGGGAGGGGGTTTAAAATAAGAGGGGAGGGAGGTGTCAAGTTCTATTGTTTCGTGTCAAGTTTACTACAAAGTGGAGGGGAAGTTTATAGAACATCAAATGTCGGTTTTTCCCCGGGTGTTGTGTTAGTAGTCAGGGACTATTGAAACAATGTTTTTTTTTTTTTTGTTTTCTTTCTTCGTGAACATTGGTTAGACAGAGCAATGAGGCTTTAAGCCTTAAGTGAAATATGGTCCGTTGGTATTTGGGGTAAAGGTATATACTCTAAAGTAGCTACTTGCTAGGACCAACTTAGTTTCATAATTCACGTTAGGGAAAGTAAAGGCATCTGGGCAGAGTGCTGAATACACTATCCTTTCATATGCCGAGGTCACTCTACTTCACTTGCCCCATAGACTGTCAAGTTTGGAAGAGGAACTTGACTTTTTACTGACTTTTAAATTAGCTTACAGTTTTTACCCTACCAATATAGATACCTGTTTGGCCATAACAAAATAGCTACCTGTTATACTCCACCAAATAAGCTACCTGATATGCCTCAAGATTAGCTACCTGATGCTTGAACTAACTAACTTTTACTCCACCAAATAAGCTACTGTAAGTTACCCTCCACCAAACTAGATATACGTTAATGTTCCAAATTAGCTGACTTATACTCCACAATCAACAACTCTTATACAGCGATTCCACCAGCTACACTTCACCAAAGTAGCCACAACCCTCCACTAAGGTAGCCACAACCCATCCACCAAGGTAGCCACAACCCATCCACCAAGATAGCCACAACCCCTCCACCAAATTAGCCACAACCCCTCCACTAAGGTAGCCACAACCCATCCACCAAGATAGCCACAACCCCTCCACTAAGGTAGCCACAACCCTATAACAAGGTAGCCACAACCCTATACCAAGGTAGCCACAACTTTCAACCAAGGTACCCACAAACTCTCCACCAAGGTAGCCACAACCCCTCCACCAAGGTAACCACAACCCCTCCACTAATACTTAAAAAAACAATTCTAGCCCTCACCTCCACCGCGGCGTAGTAGACTGGCTCAACGCTCTGAGGGATGTTGTCGTTGGCATCCTCTACCTCGATGAGCACCTCGACCCTCGCGAACTTTGGGACCAGGGCTCGGTCTTGGGCTACAACAGTCAGCCAGTAGTGGGAGGTCGTCTCGCGATCTAGCACCTGGCTGGTCCTGATTGTACCTGCAATTATACAATTTTTTAAAAAAATGATCAAATTGTAATTATGGGTTCAATATTGTTTTGTTTATTAAAAATAATCATAGTTGAAACGTTTTTAATAGGCACGCTAAAAACATATGGATCAAGATAAGGATCTAAATATAAATATTTTTTTTAATTAAGAAAGAAAAAAATAAAGCGTTTTAATTATTAGAATACCAGTATAAGATATAGGCTACCGGTACAGGTCGATTAACACTTTGTAGGTATTGACACATCGGTTATAGCCTTAAATTCTAACCATTACATATAACCGAACCTGGTCCCTAAGCCAAAGGTCTAAAACTATCTCCTACCCTAAGCCAAATTCTAGCCTTAACCTATCCCGTACCTTAAATCGAATTCTAGCCTAAACCAAACCTTTACCGTATACCTAAATCTAGCCTTAACCAAAAAACTAGCCTTAACCAAACCTTTACCATATACCTAAATCTAGTCTTAACCAAACAATTACCATATACCTAAATCTAGCCTAAACCAAACTCTTACACTAGAGCGAATCCTTACCCTAAGCTAAACCCTACTTTAAACCAAACCGTAACATTACAAAAGAAAAACGGTACAGACAATACACTAGACTATATGGTTATGGCTAATCGATAAAACCGTTATTTCTGTTTCCGTCTACAATCAAATACAATCGACCCTTAGCTCATCGACCCGTGGCTTGACCAGCGCGTCGTCACACAGAGCTAAAGAGCTTACACTAAAACACCGGTGATCATTACCCCCCTCACGTGATGCTATACACCCATCACGTGACCAGTTCTCTATGCAGGAATGAAATAACAGATTCAGCAACGGATCAAATTCTCTTACATACAGCTGTAATTGCCATCTGATCACATCTCCATAGCAACGACGAGCTTTAACTTTGAGCGCTCTTCAGCGATGTGAGTTCACTTTTTTTGTATAATGGAGCAATGTGACCCAGGTTAGTATTAAACAAGAGGGGGGACTCTTGTACTGCCAGACATGCAAGGCTGCATGCAATGCCGAGACGGGGAACGAGGGCTTTTTGGAATCTGAGAGAGACGGCAGATAAGCATGGCACCAAAGCCGCTCTGGGAATAAAATAGCTCGTTTGAACTATAAATAGGTAATGTAAACACACACCTGTTTCTAAAAATATGAATGCGGCTTATTATTTAGATTGTGTGCACGCGAATTTTTACATACATACATACACACATACATACATACATACATACTTAAATACACACAAAAATGTCTATACTCATACGCACTCACACAGAGACCGCCATTTTCAATCTGCTTCGGATATTACCGTCAATGTACGATTGACTTGTTACCTAAACAAGACCTGTTAAAATTATGACTTGTATTCCAACCAAAACAACATGGCGGCGCCATCGCCCCCAGGGGCTCGGAATGTCTTGTAAAAACACTTTTTTTTCTCCATAAAAACTAACGGAATACAAAAGAAACGCCGTTCAACTTCCACACACGCCCTTTTCTCTCTCCCCCCTCCCCCACCCCACCTTTATCCTACATTACAAAAAAACTATTGTTACTTTGCAGTACTGTAAAAACATACGTCGTGTGTATGTAAAAATAATGTGTAACTTCTGTCTGACCCTATCTGAACCCTCCAGTATTTATGATTAATATACAGTAATTATATATATATATATATATATATATATATATATATATATATATATATATATATATATATATATATATATATATATATATATATACATATATACATATATATATATATATATATATATATATATATATATATATATATATATATATATATATAAATATAAATATAATTACTGTATATTAAATAATACATAGCTCCTCCATCTAAGCTTACCATGCTTTAATCTAACAAAACACGTATAGTTCGGTACAGCTCGTATACAATACCTACTAAATTGCGTGAAATAATACATAGCCTCCGTCTGACCTTAAATTCCACCCACGTCCACCCCCAACCACCAACACACACACACACACACACACACACACACACACACACACACACACGACCCAGCCAGTTATGTGTACACCCTCGTGCCGCCCCCCGACAATACAACAATTGTAACGTTACCCGGCAGCGCCCCGCCGCCGCCGCCCTACCAGGAGCCCCAGCGTGATGGGAGCCCAAGATTAGGGGGCGCGGTACCGGAAGCTCGCAACGAGATTCCCGTCATATCTATAATGAGAATCTCATTGTACAGCCTAATCACACACACACGCACACACACGCTCACAAAATATAACGTCGGTGTAACCGTGGTGGTGGGGTGAAGGTCCGGCTACAGTAATCAGGCGAGGAAATATATTTTATTTCCTACATAACTCAATTCACGACGGCATGTAAGAATTACACGAGAAATATTATAGCTCACGTAATAGGTGGGGGGGGGGGGGGGGGGGGTTGATACAATATTCGGAAAATCCCAGTCTTATTTTTATCTGGCATTTTTACTTTACATTAGTAAAGATCATGATGAAGACTAAAAAAAAAACATACAACGACAGTCATCTGTTTGAAAAGATGCATTGCTGACTATAATTTTTTTAAGAACGGGGTGGGGGGATGCACTTCCATGTAGTGCTTCGTAAGACAAAAAAAAAACATTTTCTGCGATTAATTTAACACATAGACGACCTCATGAAGTTTAAGATTACCGAAATGTCAAGATTTCCGAAAATTTTTAAGAAAGCCGAAATCGGTACTTTAAAGATGTATTGATCAATATTGATCATAACCGCTTTACCAACTAAAAGCAAAAATTGCTGACGGATGAATTATTTTTTTTGACAACAAACAAAACTCCTATTCTCAACTAAACGCTGGGAATTTCATGGAATTTCTGACTCTCCCTTTCTAAACAATGCCATCTTTGTGTCTCACTCGTGTGGGAGGGACACGCACACGACGAACAGAAATCGAGGGTAAATACTGCGGTAGTCGGTTTACAGACTGACAGGAGAACTATGTAGACGTTTGGCATTGTTTTTGTTGGTATCATTTCACAAAGATGTATCAGAAAGGGGAGGGGGCGTGATATAATGGAATCTAGAAGTAGAGTGTGTGATAAGATTTGATTGGGTTTTTTTATGTTTCCTCGAAGCCTACTGTTTAATGGGAGAATATCGGGTTGGAGTTTAGACACTAGTTAGCTTTGATAATAATGGGGTCGGGTCGTCTGGAAAGTGCTGGTCGACGGTCTAAGTCCGAATAGGACAACAGGCTAGCTAAAGGTGGCCAATATGGGACAACAGGCTAGCTAAAGGTGGCCAATATGGGACAACAGGCTAGCTAAAGGTGGCCAATATGGGACAACAGGCTAGCTAAAGGTGGCCAATGTCCTAATGAGAAAACAGTCTAGCTAAGACCTAATGGGAAGACAGGCTTAAGATAGGTATTCATACCTACGGTATTAAAAAATAAATCTGCTTTGCAAAATTAGTAACATAGTAAACAGTGGAACTCGGCAGATTAAATAATTGCGCGCCATCAAACAACGCGCCGCACCGTTCAACACCGAGAGTTTAAAAATAAAACCCACTAAGAATATCCCTAAGTTACAAAACATCAAGGAGTCTAACTTCACTAAGAACATCAACAGTCAATGAGTGGTTTACACAAGTTTCACTCCTAACGACTAATTAACCCTTTTTTTTAACATGTTTGTTTAAAATTTAGCTAACACTTAGACAACCTGTCAAAGGAAAAAAAAAATACTTTTTATGTTAATTAGGTTATTTTTAGACACCGTTTAAGTCATTCAGCTGTCGAGATAATACTCCGGTAAGACAGGTTTGACCTGATTACTTAATTAGCTGACATTTTTACAGGTGTTGGTTAAGGAGTGTGTTAAAGTTTAATGCACTTTTAAACGGGGTATATCAATGATTAAAGATATATACTGTCAGGTAATGTCACTGTCCCCCACATATACACACACCTCCCACACATAAAGCCTCACCTGAGGTATTATTGTAAGATTATTCTGTGGGGGTGGAATTATGTCGGTGATAGAACTTGTGGAGGAGGTGTACATGTAGATAAGGGGCGCTCTAGTTAGGGCGCTCGTTACGGGCTACCCCAGGTAATGTGCTCAAGATGGGGGTGCTTGTTGTAAGGGGGTGATGGACAACGTTCCATCTAATGGGTGAAAAAGCTAGTGTGCAACGTGTATTTTGTATGCGCGGTGTTCTGAAAGTCCTACACAAGGATATATGTATCACTGCGCGGCAGTTCAAAACTACTGCGCGGCGGTGCAACCTCGCAGTGGGAATATTGGCGGTGCTGAAACTTGGAGACCACTTAGGCTAGTACAGGAACTTATGTAGCCTACGTAATGGTCTACCTAGTAAAGTCTCTTTTTTTTCCTTTGCGAGCTAGACAGAAGTCTAGTACAAAATCTTCAAATTATTCAAATTATTTTTTCTATACCTTGTTCTAAGTGACTACGTATGTCATCATGGCGTCTAACACGTACATGTCTAACCTCAACTGGTGGATGGCACGTGACTAGCACGGGCTCACCAATCAGCCAATCATTTATCGGGGCTCGCTCGAGCGGGGAAAAGTAACTACAAGGCGTTACGTATCTAGGAGAAAGGGAAGGGAGGGGCGGTGGATCACTCACTTGTCGGGTAATTGCTGTCTCGTCATGGCCTCGAGTGGTAGGTCAACAGGTAAAAAACTATTTTGGTGAGATCCACATTTTTTTTTTAAATTTAATTTTTTGTGTACGATTTTCGTTGCATTCAATTTTTAAATTATTTTTTTTTATTGAATTACCTACACTGTGATGGAATAATACAAATAAAATCTGAAGTATGGGAATGGTTTAAACATCCGACTACAGATGAGGCTAGCAACCTGACCACTACAACAACGCCATGTTTGTATTGATTCACCATCAACCGGTTATCAAAAAAAAGTGGGGTGGGGGGTCTATTAAAAG